AGTGTTGCATTCTGCACATTGTTCCTTCCCTGACAGAGCATGAGGAGTATCATCTTTGATTTTTGATGTAAAATATGGGGTCATTTATTTTCAGCTGGTTGTGTCAGAAGATTTTGTGTTTCCTAAAATGGCTACAGCATTCCTTGTTTGGTCTCAAAATACTTTTAGTAAGGTTTGCTCATAATGAAGGTTGGTATCCATGATTGAAGTCAAACATATTCCTTTTCTGACAGGCAGAAACTACTTGCTGTTATCAGTGGAAACTTCTAGCGTTATCTTACTGTTGTATGTCTGCTAATGGTTTTGGTCACAAGACTGATTGAATAAACTGTTTTTTTATTGCAGAAACGGGTATTTGACCATCAGATAATAATGTTAGAACCTTTGAACTAAATTTAAATAACTACTTGTAGTTAAATGAAACACATAACCAACAGGTACTTTTCGATATCTCCCAGAAGTTGCTTTCTAGTTTGAAAGAGGATCAACAAATTACAAGGTTGGAAATTATTGGTAGTTCTGCTATATTTGCTCAATTGTTCAAAAACAATAATGAATATGGGCCATCAGTTTGATTGTCTGTAATGCAGTAACAGTGTTTAACCCATTCTGAAATTATTTAATGGGAGGGGGCTGATTTCTGAAATTCTTGCGAGTTGGTTGCTTAAGTCAGTGCTCCAGGTAATTTTTTTTTCTTTAAGGAGTAATCACACCCAGAATTCTGTCAGTGGGAGTAATTAAAATTTGTTTACAAAGTGCAGCAATAACATTTTGTTATATAAAGTAATTTAACTAATTATGAATTATTTTATTATTTCAAAAGATGAAATTTGGCACAGGATTAATTTATCAAATGAAATCACCAGATTTAGACATAATAAACACAAATAATGACATTACAACTTTTTCTTTTCTTTTTCTTTTTTAAACAAAATTGGATCATTCGTGAGTGCACCAATAGAAACTTCTGGTGGTTAGAGAGTATTTGTTTTTGCATCTCTGCTGTGTGAACTGTACAGAACTGCAGAAAGCTACAAGAATTTACCTGTTAATTACTGTAGTACTGTTAAAGTGGCAGGAGCCATATTTATTTCTCCATAGCAGTAAAACAACTTTTCAATATTTTTTTAAGACTATAGATAGCTTATTTTTGGTTGGGAATTATGCCAGTATGCCCCTTATCTGGAGCACTTATTTAAATATTTTTAAATAAGGGCAGCTCTGTAGTTCAATACTGGGTGTTAAACCTAAACAGTTTCTGTGTAGTAACTATGATGCATTTTTTAGCATCTCCAGCTTATGTTTTGTCACAAAAATAATTGTTTGAAATCCTTTTGTTGCATTTGACATCACTATATAGTTAATCTGTTTAAAATAAGTCTTTTAAATTATCAATTCATAAAATGCTACAAAAGTTACTTATTTAAAATACATTTAGTGCTAATAGATCTTTATTAAGGAAAATTTTGTTGTTATTTAAAGTTGTTGAATATCAATTAGAAATGTATATTGTTAGATGAAAAACATATAGTGCATATTTAATATCATTTATTAATTGGTATTTCTCCTGATAATTCACTTTTTATCATATTATTAATCCAACTTGAGAATAGTGTTATAGGACCATAAATTTACTAGCATTGATTTTTGTGTGTTTATAGAACCTGTCCTTCCTTCATCTATGATATTTTGTAATGTTAATTTTAAGTTTTCACATTAAAACCTTTTTAAAGCAATTTTTATGTTTTAATGTTCTTGCCAGTTTTTCAGGTAAATTGATTGGCATATACTTTCAAAGCTAATATGGTAAATACCTTTTGTTTAGTGAGTGGTTCTGTTGGAAAGAAAAAGTGATATAAAAACAATCATTTGATACTTTTTATATTGGGTCCTTTTTTTTTTCTTCATCTAAAATAATACTGTGTTTAAATGAAAGAGGTATATTGGAAGTATTAGAAGTTCTTAACCTGTTTTAAGTTTGTTTGTGTTATACATTGTAAAAAAATCAAAGCATTAATATTATTAAAGGAAGATTGTACTGCATATTCAATGAATATCATTTTAAAAGATAAAAGTTGTCCTATTGCAACACTTAAATTGTATTATCTTGTATTATTGTAATACATAAAAGATGTAAAGATGCAATCCACTGTGTAATAACCTTTGGAATTATATTTTTTACTTTGTTTGCATATATTTATGCTTTTATGAAATTTCCTTGCAGACGTCGTTCCAAATCAAAAAAGGAAGTTCGGAGAATGATCTGTGATTGTTCCCTTACTAAAGAAGAAAAACAGAAAGGTGCTGTTGGTTGTGGGGAAGATTGTCTAAATCGACTACTAATGATTGAATGGTAAGTACATAAATACAAATGAAATGGGTGTTTTATACACGTATGTTTATAGCTCTATATATTCTCTATTTATCTGTTCTTAAGCAAAAAAAAAGGACAGACAACAAATTGTTAGCTATTATAAAAATACAGCTATTAAACCATATTCCTTTTGCTTTAGGTAGGATTAATGGAAGGGAGGAGGAAAATGTAGAAATTAAAATAAGTGTGTAAAAGATATCTCAAGATATATTATTTTGTTCCATTTTTTTGTTGGCAATAACACCTTACACCTTGCCCCAAGCCCATTTTTAATTCTAAAAAAGAAAATAAGTTTCCAATGAATTTAAATAATTCTTTTTTTTTTTTCAGAATGATCAATGAATAAGTGAAGTGATAATTTATATTTATGTGTTTAATGAAATAAGTAACTTCAATACTTTTAATTACATTAATTATTAATAGACTATTAAAATCAACACTACAAAACAATAATGAACTTAATATAAAATAAGCATTAAAGAGAGTTTTTTGTTAGGTTTCCATTGTCATTCCTAGTTGTTACCTTATAGTCATAGTGGATAATGCTTGTGGTAATAGCTCCCAAATGCATTTGGGTTATCCCATCTATCACACAAAATCCAAATGATGATGTTAAATGAGCCAGCTAACATGGAAAATCAATTAATTAATTAAGGGTATGAAGTTGAGTGCTTACACCCACAACGTCTCAACTCCTACTGCCCTAATATCTAATTATTAATTAGTTACTTTTTTAATTATTACTTATTAATTTATGTCATATGTCTTGGCTACTAATCTCCTGTAATCTTTAGAGAGATCCTGAGAAGTACTGTTTGTGGTGGTAGGCATTGGGATTCAAATCTGAGTCTTGTTAGAAAGACTGATGGAGTGTAAATGTTAACTCTTGATAAAATGGGGAAAGAAAAGACCAACAAAAGTCAGGTTTTAGGAGTATAACAGACATAAAAGACTATAATAGTGATCTACCTGAAATAGCCCATGATTGAAGAAATGCATAATTTTATTATAATTTGTTCTTATCTAAAAGTTTTATTGAATATTTTACAGTAACTTATGTTTATACAAAATGTATTAATGGGTCCCATGTTAAGAAGTACACAAGTTTATTGCTGGGATAGCACAATTGTATTGGTAACAATTGCCTAAGGTTTAAAAAATATTAAAAATTTTATATTGCATTTTATATGTAAAGACTGCACAAAGGTACACATTCATTTTCAATTGCAGGTTATTCTTTACGTAATCTAGAACTGATGTAAACATGAGTACAGATATAACTTAGTTGCAAAATGGAAAATTAGGTTTTCTTACATATTTTGTGTATAGTGAAATAAAACAGACATATTTCAAAATGTTAAAATTACTAAAATTCAACAAATTTTCATTTCTTATTGCCAAATATAACTAAGTATTTTAACAATATGTGATTGCAATTTTCTTATATTTTTGCCTTTGCCATATAGTTAGTGCATGATATGAAATTGAATAGGATAGCAGTTTTGCCTATTATCACTAATCAGTGTCCTTGTTTTATCAAATCTTACTTTATATAGATACACACACACACACGCATCTTTAACTGTATTCAAAATGTCATAAAGAAAATGAGAGCAGAGTGCTATACTCTTACATTTTAGTTTTTACATGAGTTACAGATGTTTTTCTGACTCTGTTTATACTAATTGTTACTTCCTCTAGTTTTATCATTCTTTGATGAAAGTGTTATCAGAGGTTTTAATATCTACCTTTAGAAACATTTGTCCTTGTTTATTGTTTACTGTTGAGTATTTATAATTCCTGGCTACATAATGCATTGGATAATTCTTATGAAGAAAAATTGAAAACTAGCTTGTTATTTAAATATTTGTGTCATGAAACCACCTCATTCTCTCATTTGTTCAGAAAAGATTTCACCGTTATAGTAAATAAAGTTTTGATTTTGTTATTCAATCATTTCTTTGTAGATGTAGATAAAATACAAGGACATCATTTAAAGAGTTTGTTTTTTAAAAGTAAAGTTTCACCATGTTTGTACTTTAACGATAAATTCAATAATTTCATTGCAACTGCAATATCATAGAATATGTTTAATGGTTGTCTTCATATAGTAGTGAGCATGAAAATATTACTAAATTCTGTATATTTTAACCTTTTGTTTTACAGTCATTGCTTTAACCAATAACGTATGCAATAATTTGAAATGTACATGCACTAGCATTTTGAAGATTTGCAAACTTTACATTAACTAGAAGAATTATTTTCTGAATACAGGAAGTACAAATCAGTACCCAGTAAGAATAAGCTAGTCACTATGAATGTCTATGATAACACCTAAATAAATACCAACTAACCTCGTTTTATTTGGATAGTTCGGTATATTTAAGGTTTTTGCTGTGGATTTATTTTCAGTGGATCTCGATGTCCATTAGGTGAAAGTTGTACAAACAAAAGATTTCAACAGGTAAGAATAATTTATTTGTTAATGTAAAATCTTATATTTATATAAGTACTTGAATTTTTATGTGAAGCTTGCATAAGTTGACTAAATTAAAATAGTCATCAGGAATGGAAGTAATGGGTTTTTATTTGTATGACAACGTCACAAGCTTTATTTAGAAAAAATTATATGACATTTGTTTAAATTGTTTCACTCATTTCTTGCTATTTTTTTTAAACAGCTTAATTTGAATATTAATCAACAAAATAGCCCACAGTTACTGCAGATACAAAACAGTTGAGCTAAAATTAAAAAGATTCACTTGCTTTACTTTCTGAAGGTCAAATTGTTTTTAAAATATAAACTTGTAACAACATATTTGCTACCTATGGGCAGACCCTTTCCAGGTAAATAGTCTGCTTCACATTCACTGAGGATAATAGTGATGTTCTCCTTTTTCAAGAAAAAATAATAATTTATGATTCTGTAACAACTGTAGAACCCATTTCTTTTCAGAAATCTGTAGTAAGCAATTAATATTAGTAATGAAACATTTTGCTAATGCCTTGCAATATGCATTCCAATGGTAAAGGATTGAAAATAATTTCAGCAACACAAAGACAGCACAATTTAACCACTGCTTTACCTTCATTAATAAATTCTCTTCAGTAAGATGGATACTTTTGCACCACATTCTTAATAGGAGAATGTGTCTAGGGAGAGTACTTTTTGAAAATAGAACTATCCTATTATTCAAGTTATTCTACTTTATGCCAAAAACCTATGTAGTATTCCACAAAACATATGATCCCTTATTAAAAATTTAATACTGCTTTTTGTGCCACCATTCAGCATACAGAAAATTGGTACGAGACTGAAGTATAATTTTAGAATCAGGACACAACAGTATTTACTTGATACCCACTATTAGAGTGATCTTACTTTGAACTACAATCAGAATGTTAAACTTCTATTGATTTTCTCTTTTGAGGGTTTCTCTGACAGCCAGAGAGCTATGCAGAAGGATGCCTAAATGACAATGCAAAAAACCTCCCAATGACTGGATTGTTTTAGGATCAAACTACTTCTTAAGGCCAGGACCCTTCAGTTTGAGTCTGGGCAGATGTCCCAGTACATTTCTCCAGTCAGTTTTAACATGCTGCATGATTGAGAAGGACTACTCTAATGCTGCATTGGACATTGGTATCACTAGAAGTACTTGCAGAACATAATTTAAATTTGGAAACTGCAGTTTCTACATGCCAATCATCCTTTTCCAGAATTTATTTTTCTAGATGTCCAAGACCTCTACATCTAAACTGTTTAAGCTCATTACATTCAGAAAAAGCTTTTTTAGCATTTACATGCCCTCCTAAAAGTCCTCATTACCAAACACAGTTATTCATCTGTTAGGCCATACTGTGAGGTCCAACACCATCAAGCAACTAAAAATTGGATGCCTACTTTTTAAGTAAGTCTTCACATTTGTCTGTGATTAATATTTTAATTTTTCCACATACACATCTTTATATGACTTAAAGAATTCAATGCTGCTCCTGGCATTTGTAAGAGTAACTGCTTTGTGTTCCAACCCTACATTCTCATTTGTCATTTTTTTCTCTAACAAAACATGCAGTTTTGAAAATGCAGCTTCAACACAAGACAAAGCAAACTAGGAATCAGCATTGTCACTTTGGAAACTTAGTGATAACCTTGCCAGTTGAAAGGGGATTTAATCAAAGAACATTAAATGCAAAATAAACTTGGCTGATGTTAGCATTTTTAAAACTATTTTTTTGCTTTTGACCTTTCCTGCTATTGGTTTCAGCAATGTTTTCTAAGTGCTGTACTATGACATTATAAAATTGCAGTAGAACTTCAGTTGCTTTGTACTTCAGCCATCATGTGCTTTGAACATGAATGGGGTTTTCCAATTTTATTTCTAAAATGTCCCCTAATTCCTTCAGCTCTTTGAGTTTTCAGGGGCTTCTCTGATATAAATAGAAAAGAGCTGTCAGAATGTCCATTACTTCATCAAAATATGTCCCCTTGAGTTCTTTAACAGCAAGCTCTAATCTGTGAAACAGAAATCTATATATATATATATATATATATATATA